AAAGCTACGCTACTCTGCCACCTAGTGCTTTAAAGTATATGGTGTACCTTCTTCTGCCTCTTGCTGCTTCAGCATCTTCTACAGAACTTCTGTTAACTTTTATTAAATTTCAGTACTAAATGGGAAATTAAACAGAAACTTGGTTTATCAAGCAGTTCTTCACTGCCACAAATCACTGTTATGCATGTAGATCCTAGTACAATGCTAAACTGTTTAGCAACTTACACCCTTGTATTTTTTGGCATTACTTGATCTTCCTCATCCTTTCCAACACTTGCAATAGCATCCTCATCACACACAGTACTTAGAAGACCAAAACCAACAAAAACACATAAGTACATATAACATGTATCACGACATTTAATCATGACATTTATTTATAATCATGACATTTTCAGACCAAAAAAAAAAAAAAAAAAAACCAAAATAAAAAACCACCTTTTATCATCTGCTGACAGCTTCACAATGCAGCTGTTGCTCCAAAAGTAATGCCTCCCATTTATTTCCACAGAAACTGCAACAGGTACAAAGACACTATTTCATACAGCAAATTATCAGCTACAAAATGTCATTTTTCAACATAGTCCCCACCACCAGTTATGCATTTTCCCCATCAGTGGACAGAAGACTGCATGCCACCCTCATAAAAATCTGCACCAATGGAGACGACCCAGTTTTACAGCTGCTAAGACAGCACTGTTGCTAAAAAAATGTTGACCACGTAATTCGTATTTCACTGTGCTAACATCCACTGTTTGGTTTCCATCTTTAGCAAGCATCAATGAATGTCAGTGGGTGCAACTTTTTCTGCCTGGAGGCATAAAGTTACACCCCTTTGCTTCGTACACACTTGACACCAGACACCATTCTGTCAACATGCCCCTCTGCTGCCACTGACAGCAAAATGGAATGAAATGTTGGTGGGAACATTCACCCTCAACTGCTGTACCACCACCTCTCATGCCGTGAGCTAATGTAATAAAACAGGAGGCTTTGCTTTTGGGTAGCCCTCATAAAAACAAATTCAAAAGACTGTTGAAAATGGCATGAGCTGTACAGATTTCCTACTGATTCCAAATAATTGAACAGAATGGTGTCTGATCATATGGCACCGATAAAAATATGAACACCTCCTGAACATATTAACATTGCAAAGGTATGGGTAGAAAAGTGGACTTAGAATCATAGAAACACATAGGCTGGGGAAGTTCTACATCACCAAGTCCCAACCATCAACCTGATCTGCCAAGTTCTGTTACAAGCCATGTCTCTTAGTGCCTCATCCACACATCTCTTGAATACCTCCAGCGATGAGGACTCTAGCACTGCCCTGAGCAGCTCATCCCAATGCTTGACAACCATACCAATGAAGAAATTCTTCCCAAAGTCCAATTAAACCTCCTCTTGCACAGTCTGAAACTGTAGCCTCAGCATCTTATTACTTGTAACCTCAAAAAACAGACCAGCAGTCTCCTTGCTGCAATCTCCTTTCAGCTACATCAAGAGAGTGAGGAGTCTCTCTCATGTTCCTCTTCCCAATTCCATTTCCAACATTTCCTCCTCATAGTATTTGTTTCCCTGTTCCTTTACCAGCTTCACTGCTCTTTTCTGCACATGCTCAAGCAACTCAAGCAACTCAGGATCCTTCTTACAGCAAGAGGCCCAAAACTGAACATAACGCTTGAGATGTAGCTTCACCAGTACCATGTACAAGGTGACAATCTCTTCCCTGGTGGTGCTGACCATGTTATTTCTGATGCAGGCCAGGATGCCCTGCCTGTAGAATATCTTGACTTGAAGGAACCCATAGGGATCACTGAGTCCAACACCTGGCTCCACATAGGACCAATCAAAATTCAAATCACATTCTGGAGGCTGCTGTCCAAACACTTCTTGAATTCTGGCAGAAACCTTTTCCTAATATCCAGAGGATCTCTCGGATCCTATGGGGGGTCATCCTCAAGGGGAAAAGGGGCACAGCCACGTATGTGGTTCTCCCATCACTTTACCCCTACATACCTCAAGCACCACGAAAATGTTCACTGCCAAAGGAGATGCAGTCATTTAAAACTGTTGAGTTTCATGGCCGTAATTTTTCATCCCTCACTCCTGCCCCTGGATCACGACAAAGTGTCATCTCTTCTGCCTTGACCCCCAAAGGAGAGGGGTGGGGAGGAGAGGGCCCGCTGTCCTCTGGGTGGCTGTACTGGGGCAGCAGGGGGGGTCTGCTGGAGGGCTTTGTGGTCCTTGGGATCTGGTGGTGGGGTTTTCCACTCTGAGGCTGAGAAGGTCAATTAGGGATTGCTATGCTCAGCCTGTACTCTCCTTGGCTACACAAGTGGTTGAAGGTGGAGCCTTCAGTGCCCTGGCAGTGCACAGAGTAGCTGGATATCAGTCATGCCTCTAGATAAGAAATTTGGATACATTTGATCTCTGCAATCTCTGGAGTATTGAGAAAAAAGCTTAGGGGCAGGGACACAGCTGTGTCTGTGGCTGTCCCCATCAGTTGGGTACTACGTACCTCAAGCAGTGTGAAAGTGCTCAGATCCTACATCAGGTGAAGAGGAAAGTCAGGTGTTTTTTTAACTAAATTAAAAATGATGTGCCAAGAAAATGCACAGACTGTTGTTACACTAAGAACTAAAGCCACTTGTATTCATGTTTCTGGTGAGTTCGCCCTGCCTATGCCAACACAGTATCAAGTGATCCCAATGTGCCCCTTTTTCTTACGTTTCCAGTGTTTGGCTTTCATGCCTTGTACAGATGCAGGAGGCAGCAGCAAATACTAAGCTGTCCAGCAGACTAAGGGAACAGATGTTCCCTTGCAGCTAATTCATAGCTTTTCTCCCTTTGACTCATACTTTTTTTGTGAAGGCCCCTGGTGCAGATGGCATGTTTAGAGGATTGATTGTTCTGTGGATTTGATTCAGTGAAGCTCAGTAAAGCCTGGATACCCTGGGGAGGATGGAGTCCTCTAGCCTGAAGGGTGCTAGTTCCATGTCTGAGCACCCTCATGGTGATACTTTTTCCTTTTGCTGACTGGAAGTTGTTCACGTTCCAATATGGGCCTGCTACTTCTTGTTCTCCCATCACTGTGTAAGAGAAGTCGGGTTTCATCTTCCATGCTCCCAGTAGGCAGCTTTAGTCAACACTCAGATACTCCCTGAGCCTTCTCAGTTCCCTCACACTGCCCTACGATGCCTTGTGCCCTCCCCAGCCTGAGGCCCCGGGACGGGCCCATAGACTGAAATATCAAACTGTAAAACCGATGAACCCTACTGCTCCCTTCAGCTTTACTGCCCAGGTCAGGAACGAACCTCAGAAATGACCTAAGGCTTTAGGTGTATTTCCACACCTTCATACAAGCTGCTACTCTATATTTGAGCTTGTACTGAGCTACTGGTTATATTCTCTTTTACAAACAAGGCATTCCTCAACCCACTTTATGTATTATTCATAAAAGGACGTATACATACTTCATGTATTATTCAAAAAAGGATGCCATCACAGCAGCTGTGAAACAGTGGGTCTTCTCCACTGGTGTAGACTTTACAAGCATGGCATGCACTCTTCTGTTCATCTCTGGTGAAAGTGCTTTGTAGCTAATAATTTGCTCTATCAACTAGAGTTATTGCAATCTTTATATCTGCTGTAATATCCATGGAATTAAACAGAAGGTATTACTTTGGGGGCAACCTACATAGATTGAACTGTTAACAAGCACTGATATTTTCCTAACAACTCTGAAGTTTAAAAAAAAAAAAAAAAGACAAAAAAGACTTAGCACTACTCACTTGCTCTATAAAACATATTCCCAAATTGAAATGTTACACAAGTCCTTCTGATGCTCTTTACTGCATGCTTTTATTATCATCTAATCATATGTGAGACTTTCATATGTGAGACTTCTATTTTCTGGAAAATGAACACCACGCTGACATTCCGGGTTTTAATAATTTTTTCTATAACAATAACTACTCTATTATTCCAAAAGAGAAATAAGAACATCCCCTATTTTTTTTTCCAGTGGTTCTACTCCTCTAACTTGTTGAATATTTTAAAAAGAATATTTATACTTTCTTCATTTCTCATCAGTACTGATAGAAAAAAAAAAAAAAAAAAAAAAGAATCAAAGCTATTTAAATGGGAAGAAATCAAAACTTCTACTTTATTTTCATAGAATCATAGCATAGTTTGGGTTGGAAGGGACCTCAAAGACCAACTGCTTCCAAATCCCATATTCCAGATAGTGTTGCCAACCATTAAATCAGGCACTAGGTCAACTGCCCAATCTGGGGGAAGCCCCTACAGAGAGGCAGACAATTAAAAACAAAACAAACAAAAAAGTAAAACAGTAGAAAGCCACTGAATAGTTCTTCACTATCACAGCTCTCCAAACCAGGACAGCATAGGCTCAGGCAGCTAACTGAAGCTAGTTTAAATCTCTAATGCTTGTGGTACTTCTGGGTACTTCAGGTTGGCTAAAACCAACCTGAAAACACAGCTAGCTGCTGTGACTACAGCACCAAAAAGCCACCCTCACTCTGCAGAGGACACAACTCAGGAAGGTACGTTGTTCTTTGCAGATTTCTAAGCACAAACTGACCATCCAGACTACAGAATGGGAATGGCTGCAAATAACGAGCTTTGATACTTACAGAGTTCCAGTCACTGCATCTCAGTTTGTTTCTCCACTGACCACAGCACACTCAGAGGGCATTATTTTCCACACTGACAACTGAAAGAATAACCTTCAGTCTAGTACTGAAAAAGAGCAAACATCACTTGGCAGCCTCTGTTTCACCCGCAAACAGGAATATCACTGAGGATTTCAAGGATTTCAAACAGCAGTACTGTGGAGATATCCAGGCAGATTCTATTAAGAGCAATGGAAATTATCAGACAACCATATCCTTCCTCAATAATATTATTTGTTTCTAATCAGCAATAATTTTAAACATTTTTTTTTCTAAAACCAGCAGCCAAAACTGGAAAGCAGATTTCTTTAGGAATCTTTATTTTATACCTGTGATTGTTTTTCCATTGTTAATAGTAATAAAAAATTATTTACAGCATACAACATTAACATACAAAGTAGTCACTGTACTGTATGTAGATGTCCAACAAGACTGATTCCAACTTCTCTTTAATTGCTGACTGCTATGATAGATACATCACCAAGAAGCACTGTCCACTGTATGCTACAGAAGCAATACACGACATGAAACGTGACTTCATCAGGCACCCCAAAGGTTCACACTTATTCAGTATCAGCGTTGACTGAACATTCTTGGAAAACATTCTAGGAAAACCTTCCTGAGAAACATGCTCTGTCTCGCTGTTAATTTCGAATAAACCAAGATGGACGCTTCCTGGCTCTCTCAATGATCCGCTTGCCTTCATCTTTTTCAGTGGGCTTTTCTCCGTCATAAAGCACTACAGTCTCTACAGTAGGAGCATTAAACGGCCCTCCTTCCTTTTTACCTATTTCCTTCCGTATCTGCTGAGTCTCTGCTTTGACTTTTGCGTAACAATAACCACAGAGAACATGCTTCAGCTTCAAGTTTCCACACTCTGGGCAAACATCGATGTTCCTCTGAAAAAGAAAGGCAGTCAAAAATAGAAATTCAGTAATTTGAGCTAAAGCAAAAACAAACAAAAAACTAGGAGCAATGACGAAGCAGTAGGAAGCAATTAATGAAATAGCGGAGAAATTCATCTGCCTTTCAGAACAAGGCGGCTCTGACCACCGTCACAGTTCCCTATGGTGAGCCGCGCATCGCCATCACCTTGACCGCTATGAGCTTGCTGGGGTCCCTCCTCCTGCAGCGGTTCACCTCGATGCTGCGCCTCTTCTTCGGCGCCGCCATCCACAGGACGCCACCGAGGAAGCCCGGCCCCTCGCCGCCCGCTGCGGGCTCCGGCAGACAAGCAGGGCTCTGGACGGCCGGCGACAGTCCTGAAGGGAAACGGAACTCGTTACCGCCAACCTCCACCGACCGCACGAGGGCAAACGCGGCCCCAGCGCCGCCCCGCCTGCCTCGGCCTACCCCACAGCGGGCTCTGCGCCCCGCACGCCGCCGGCCAGCGGCCGAGCTCCAGCCGCTGCCAGCAGCGCTGGAGGAGAACGCGGATCGGCGGCACCGAGTGCAACACCACGACCGCCATGCCGGCAGGAACGGCAGCAGGAGAGCGGTCGCCCGCGGGCGCCCTCGGCATTCTGGGAAAGCGAGTGCCTCGAACGCGTCACAGCGTAATGACGACGGAGACCTGGACTACGACTCCCAGCACCCTTTGCGGCTACCGGCGTGCCAGAGCGGCGGGGAGGTCGAAGATTCCGAGTACCGGCATGCCTCGCGGCGGGTCTCCCGGCCAATCGCGCCCCTCGCGTGCGCGGCGCACGGCGGCGGTCCCTGGCGCGCTTCCCTCGTCGCCAATCAGCGCTCTCCGTGCCCCTGCGCCGGAAGCGGGCGGGGCGATCGGGCGGAGCACGCCTGCGCATAGAGAGCTGGCGAGAATAGCAGGGGGCAGGCGCTAAAATGGCGGAACGGGGGTACAGCTTCTCCCTCACCACCTTCAGGTGCCGAGCGGGGGGGCGGGGGACCGTGGGTCCGACTGGTTTACGGCGGACGGGCTCGGGGGAGAAGGGTGGGACGGCGCACAGTGTGCGTGAGGCGTCGGGTTGGGGGGGCACGGTGAGTGTGCAGAGTCATTGCGGTACTGAGCTGCGAGCGAGCGCACCTGGGCCTGGGCAGAAGGGATGGGTTGTATTATATTGCATTGTTTTGCGTTATATTACGTTATGAAGGTGCAAAAAGAGAAACTGAAAGCAAGAGTCTGCTGGTTTTGGTGAAGTGTCTCCCTGATGTCCGAGCAGTGCTCTGTAATTGTGTCACGGCTCTGTAATTGTGTCACTGCAAAGCAGGTCACTGAAGTGATGCTGCAGTTAGCGAGTGAGGCAATGGGAGAGGCATCTTCTTAGTGTGTGAGTTCAGCTGAAGGTGCCCGCGTTGCTAAAAGGACTGCGTTGTTCGTTAGCTCTTTCCTGGAGGAGTTACCAAGCTTTTTGTACCTTCCAAAGCACTAATACTTGTGAAACTGTTTGGGTTTGTGTTCACAAGAAAGCAATAACAATTACTAGTGCTTTTCCATATTCACTTGTCCCACGCACTGAGAATCATTGATTTGAGCGAGTGTTAGCTTTTAATTTATTTTGCTGATGTTCTGATGTTTTGATTCTCGTACAGGAAATTATTTATTTGCTTATTATCTCGTACAGGAAATTATTTATTTGCGTATTTGTTAATGGTCATTGAAGACAGATGCGGGAATACTTGAGGGTGAAATGAGAGATTTACTTCTTGTGTCATTTGGCCTATCAGTGAAAAAGAATAGTAATGTTTTGCTTGTCTTTTGACAGCGAGCCTCACTGTTTCAAAATCTGTTGCAAAACATGTATAAATGCTATTTTAGTAGAAATTCATGATGTTCTGTGAAGATTCCTTCACTGACGGGGAAACTTGGTTTAAATGATACAAATCTGGAGCACTGCACTGCAATCAGATCGAGTCCTGTCTAAGAAGCATTAGTTTTCATTGATGTTACAGGCAGGTGTAGCAGTTCTAGGCTATCTAACCGGCTATCAGCCCGGTTCTTTTAAAGTCTTCAGATTCTTCTTTTTTTTTTTTTCTAAATTATGGTTAGGGTATGCAGACAGTAGCTGTAAAGAGATTAAAAAGGAAGTTAACATCAGATTGATGCATATTTGAGCATAACAAAATTACGTCAGGCTTACTTCTGCCTTTTCATTTTCAGTCCTTCTGGGAAACTTGTTCAGATTGAGTATGCTTTGGCTGCAGTGGCTGCAGGAGCTCCATCGGTCGGGATTAAAGGTTCGTTCAGATCATAACTCCACCAGTGAAAGGCTGAGTGTCTTAAAGAAGATGGGGAACATGGAGCTCCATTTGAGAGGAAAGTTGCTAGTGTAATTTTGGGAACACCACCAGTAGAACCAAACACCTCTCGTTTGAAGCAATATTGTTACTTAAGAAAATAAGTCCAGATATGTTTCCGTGTATAGAAATAGTTATTTCGACTATTATTAATATATACTTCATATTCAGAATGTGATTATGAGAGCTGCGTGATTATTTTTAAAATACTGGGGAAATGCTGGGTGAATTCATCAAAGTGCCTCTTTAATGTGATTGTGAACTTGAAGAGTTTTTTCAGAATGGAGGAGCAAATTTCTTTCTTCCTACAAATCTGTATTTCAACTGCTTTCTATAAGTGTAGTTTAATACAGCACTTTTTCTTTTTCTAGCTGCAAATGGAGTGGTGTTGGCAACGGAAAAGAAGCAGAAATCCATTCTTTATGATGAAAGGAGTGTCCATAAAGTAGAGCCAATTACCAAGCATATAGGTTTAGTGTATAGTGGTATGGGTCCAGATTACAGGTATTGAAAAAAAATTCTGCATTTAGATACACTTTTCTATATGTATAGTGTAATACTATGTTGGGTTACACTGTATATGAGATCTTCTTTCTCTATAAGGTTTTTTATAATATATTAATTACCTTGGTAAATAATATTGCATCTCAAAAATGAGTGTGAGATGAAGAGCAATGAATTCAATCTTAGTGTCTGTTTTTCAAAGTACTTCAGGGTGTGCCGAGTTGGTATCTCAATATAATGTATATAACTCAGTGTAATCTTTTGTAACTATTAACTATTGTAATTCCTTCCAATAGTAATTTTTAAGAATTTTCAGCTGAAATTGTAACAAATAGTTGGATTTCTAATAGGATAATTTTGTCTCTGTTTTTAGAGTACTTGTACACAGAGCACGAAAGCTGGCCCAGCAATATTTCTTGGTTTACCATGAGCCCATTCCAACAGCTCAACTAGTACAAAGAATTGCTTCTGTGATGCAGGAATATACGCAGTCTGGGTATGTGGTTTTCTGAAGTTTGGAGGCAGTTAGAGTGGTAAAGTATGACAGCTACCAGGTGATTCATTTTTAATGTCAAAAACACAGATTTTTTTACTGGAAAATGCTCACAGGAGGTGGGTAAGTGGGAGGACAGCTACCTGGCGTGGGTGAGATAGTCATTGTATCCTGAATAGGCTGACTGACTAGGCAACATTCATGATAACAGCTCTGTGCTGGTAGGAGGCCTTTAGGGAAATTCAGTGCATCCAAAGTAGTGCAGCTTTGGTGTTCATCAAATAAATTTATGAATTTTGCGTGCCAGCTCTGAGTTGTTTGTTTGTTTTGTGTGGTTTTGTTGTTTTTGTGTACAGAGGTGTTCGTCCCTTTGGTGTATCACTGCTCATATGTGGCTGGAATGAGGGGCGGCCCTATTTATTTCAGTCAGATCCATCAGTAAGTATCTTATATTTGTAAATTCTTCTGTTTCTGTAAAATATCTAAAATTTCATATGTGCTCGTGAAATACTTTGTGTGGCTTGAAGGATCTGGAGCTAGAAGAAAAGATTCCTTTACCAGAATTCACAAGTCAGAATGATCCATGCTGGGAGCCTGCCTGGAGTACTGTGCCAAAGGAAATGTGGGAAGTGGGTGGCACCTGCTTGCTTATTCTGTGCCTCCATATTTATGGATGCACGAGGAATGGCAGCAGTTCTTGAAGGACGTCACCACCCTTTTTCATCTCTTCCCACCTGGTTGGTAGTAACAGGAGTCATTGTGGTGTGCTGCAGCAGGTACCAGGAGAAAATATTTGACCGCTTGCACAGCTCAAATAGTTATTCCCTAAGCTGTAGCAAAACTAGGCCAGAGTCTGTTCCATTGTGAAATGCAGTGCAAATGCTCTCATATTTAATGGCAGAGGTTAATTTGCAGGAGTTTATTTGCTGTGTTAGAAAAGGGTTTTTACTAAAATTTACCTGTTGATGCCTGTGTGAGTTATAAGAATTTTCACCAAATTAAAAGATCTGTTACTCTCATGATGTTCGATAAGCTTCAGAAATAAGAGTCACTACCCAGTGGTCAAATGTAACAGCAGAACACAGTTGCCTCGTGTGAGGCATCTTGATTGAGGTGCAGATTGGGTGTGATTGTCGTTATCCTGTGGGAAAGAACAGGCCCAAAAGCCAAGTACCTTGGTAGTAGCTAAGATAAATCAGGTTGGCTGTTTTGTAGCAAGTCTTTGAAAATGTATGGGTACACATGTATTTATTTGTGCATGTGCATAAACACACGCTAACATACCTATAAGTATATATGGTATTTATATGTCAGATGAGCCTCGTGGAAGAACTGAGTGCTCATTCTCAAGGGCAAACAGAATTTCTGCTCAAGGAATCCCAAACCAGAACTATGCTAACAACTCACTAAATCCATTTTTCAAAGTAGTGGGAGGCCCAATTTATCAGCAAGGCCCAATAAAAAGGTGTTGTACATTTCCATAGCAAATGTTTTCACATCCAGTTAGTTGGAATGTAGCCCAAAACAATCTCACATGCTGTTATAACATTCAGAATTTTCATAATGGCTTCTGTACCTGTTACCCAATAATTGAATGTGTAATGTTTGACTGAATTAGGAAAAACAATAGATTGTTGTTTTTACAGGGAGCTTATTTTGCTTGGAAAGCAACAGCCATGGGAAAAAACTATGTCAATGGGAAAACATTCCTTGAGAAAAGGTAAATGTATTTTAATGATGTCTAAAAGAATACTGTCTCTTTTTCCAGGTTTCAGGCAAAAGAGTCAGGAAAAAAAAGTATACTCTTGAGTGATTGGTACAAAGATTTAAAATACTGATGATGTTTCCAATTGCTTTGTTTAACATGTATGTGATACCGGCTTTACTCAGCGCTAACTTTTGTGTGTGTGGTTAATTAATCCAGTGCAATAAGCAGTGTGTTTAATATATTTGTGAAAACGTTCTCCACAGCATCAGCAGCAGTAGGGATTTTTTTTTAATAACTGTTCTGAATATTAATATAGCAGTTCTTAAAAATAGTTGGAGGTTTTAATAGTGTTTGGGGTTTCAGAGGTTCTAGACTTAGTAGGATTCAGAAGGATTGTACTGTGATTGTACTGATTGTACTGAGATGTGATTATTTTTTTTTTATAGATACAATGAAGATTTGGAGCTTGAAGATGCCATTCATACAGCTATCTTAACATTAAAGGTTAGGAAAACGTTTAAAGAATACATATCTTGCTGTTGCAACATCATTGAAGTGATTCACTGAAGTATATTTTCTTTAATAGGAGAGCTTTGAAGGGCAAATGACAGAAGACAACATTGAAGTTGGCATATGTAATGAAGCTGGTTTTAGGAGGCTAACTCCGACTGAGGTTAAGGACTACTTGGCTGCAATAGCCTAGTAGAAACCAAGTAAGACTGTGTGACTTCACACTAAGGTCTTTTTAATTTTGGCTCCTTAAATGTTTTTCTTTGCAGTTTTTGCATACTTATTTCTACATGGTTTGTCTGACAGATTTTTTAAATACCATGGGTGCAAATGCAGCAGTCCTAATATTGTAATAAATTGAATCTTAATACAGATAATTCTTTCCCTTGATACGTGGAAAGTTTGTACACAAAACACTTTAGAAAATGTAAAGTTATAATGAACACAGACAAAGGCAAAATAATAAAGTTGGAAGGCCTCTGTTTTGCGGGAAGGCGTGTGTGTCTTTTTATTCATAGCTTGTTGTCTGTACAAAGCTGAGGCTTGGGTATCTTCATTGCTGAGGAACAGTTTTTCCACATTAGCCACTGTGAACTGATTGTTAGACCTTCTTTAAAGAACTTCTAAACTCTGTGCTTACAAGAGAATTTTTTCACTTTGGAACTCTGTAATTATTAAGTTTCCTTCCAAAAATGGGTTGCTCTGGTGCGAAACACACTTCCATAGAGATGTAGAACAGTCTTCCATCTGGGGGGTGAACTGTGATTTACTTGAACAGCTCTGCTTCTGAGTGTCTGGCATTGTCTTAGTCTTTGTGTCTTAAGAGTTTGTTTTCTGTTAGTCAGTTGACCTTTGTGATCCTAGAAATTGACATTCCTCAATCCTGAAATGCTATTAGGTGTAACGGAAACAATTGCTATAGACCAAAACCTAAACCCATTTACCAGTACTTTTAGAAATCAATAGGATGTAGAAAGCAAAATGAGAACATGTAATGTAATCACTTTATTCACTGTGCTGAAGTATTTTTCAACTTGCAAGATAACTGTAACGGAACAGCAATGAAAAGAACACTTGATTTATGCATTGCTACTTCTAAACGTGCAGAACTAGATACTTGAACATACTGCGTGTGGGTGTTTGTACTGTTAGTTTGTTGTGGTTCTTTTTTACGTGTGTAGTGCCTGTAAAGTTATGTAGAAACAAGCTGCACAAAAGAAAGATGCTAAATAGACTTTTTTTTTTTTTTTTTTTTAAGCATTTTTAAAGCAGAAATCTGGTCTGGAGCCATTGAAAAGTTACTGATAATGAAATGGAAACTGGGTAGTTGGATCAGACTGCTTGTACGTTAATACAGCTGTATGGGAGCAGCCAGACAGGTTAAAAGTTACCTAGCCATAAACAATGAAGAAAATAAGAAGTCCAAAGAAACGGATATATAAACTAACTGATCTGCTCTGTGTCTGTCATCTAATGTTTTGTGTTATCACTAGGCAAATGAGAATTTCTTAAGCATGCCATAAATGAAGTTTTATTTCGTAATGTCACAAATAAAAATTATGTTCAGATGGTTCTTAAAGACTTCTCCAGATTACTTTTTGAGTATTTACTGTGAAAACCAGTTCGTATTCTGATTCTTCTTAGAAACAACTAAGTAACTAGGATGAGAAACCAGAGACTTTATATTACCTGATTTTAATTTGCACTTCCAGAATCATCATTCCAAAAAGTGGGATTCTACTTTAATATCTGCATGCATCCAGTCTACTTTTAATGTTATATAAATACTTAAAGGAGTTTTGTATGAAAAAAAAAAAAAAAAAAAAGCAGGTAGGTACTTCAGAAATGATTAGCATGAACAACAGTAAGTTAGTTGCATCCTCTACTAAGAGTTGATTGGTGAAGAGCAGCCTATTAAATGTAATTGAAACCAAAGCACTTCACTCTCAAGATGGTAATAGTGGGGCAAATGTAAAATGTTAAATGTAAAAATTAATATTTTTTGGGTGGGTGGGGATTTATGTGTGTGTGTGTGTGTGTGTGTGTGTGTGAACTGCTTTCCTCTGTGTAGAAAATAGCTCATTTTATAGGTGATGAAGAAACATGAAAGCTCATGATTTCTGTTTTTCTTGTGGCTTAATGATGTAGTAACTTCTGTGTCAGAGAACATGGGGACTTCGAATAAAGCAAGTACAGTTTCAGGCAGGTCAGACAAAGGCTTTGTTCAAGTGATTACAAAGACAGGTCCTATATACTGTTTTAGGAAAGGAAAAAAAAAAAAGTCATTCTGGTGTTAGCAAAGCCAGCTGTCCAGCCTTGAGCAGGATGGACTGCAAACAATCATTTATAATAGTACCTATTTTAATATGACCAAGTGCCTAACTGTGAGAGGGATGGAGCCAAGTAGCTTCTTAACTCAGGGTTCTGAGAAAGGATAGTTGAACGTGTGCCAGTACGGAGAGGTGGCTTTCGTGGAGCCTGGAGGAGCAGCGTATCCCATATAACCCTTGCTCAGAGGTGGGGAGTCAGGATAGTCACAAGCTGCTAATTTTTAGCTGAATGTTTTAGTCAGGATAAACTTCATAACCAGCTCTTCCAAATATTAGTAACTTTAACACCAAATGTGCATTGTTATGGGAAGTATTGCATGCTGAGTAAGGAAAATACTTTCTGGCAATTGGTATGGATGTTATGTGTATCTTTTGCCCACTTCCCCCTGTTCCATTAGGAGGACAATACATGATTTGATTATTATCTAATTATGGCACTATTTTCTCTTGAGAACAAATATAAGTACTTGCAGAAAAAGAGGAGAGCATTATCACTAGGCCGTCATACCCCATGTGTCATTACATAGCCTCATTTTATGGCAAACAACTTCAAAATGATAAGTTTTCTGTGAGAGTATTTTCCTTAGTTTTATTCTGAGGCATGATCCTGGGGCCTGAGTCACTTCTGTGGCAATCATTTCTCCTTGCTTCTTGTGAAATGGGCAGTGTGGGTTTAACAGTTTACTAGTGGTCATTCTGATAAGCCACTGTTTGTAGTGGAGAACGATGGCTCAAACTGAACTCTTGAAGTTCTTTAACAGCCATATTCCCATCAGGGAGTCAGAATTCATTGGATTTGGGATAAGTTGAAAGAACAGGCATAATATTTTGAATTCAGGTTTTATTTATGCTATTTGTTTGTTTCTTTTAGTGGTAGGTGTATAGATGTCAGTATTACACTGTTCTAATGAGGAAGATGGTGTGACTTGGAGCGTGGGGTTTTTCTGCTGTTTTAATTGCTTAATCCTTGACACTGAGTAAGATCATTGTCATACTCAGATTACTGCTGTTTTAGAATAGTACACTGAATTTTATCTGGTCTTTGAAGAGGCCCTTAAAAATGCAGGAAATTAATATTTACATCTTTTTCCATTCTAAATTCCTGGAATTTAAGAAATAGTAATTTTAATTTGGATATGTATTGCTCAGGAAATAACATCAACTGATGTTATCAGTGAGTGCAACAGAGCAGCAAATTATATAGCAGTTGTATTTATTTTTGTAAATTGCATTATATTAGCTTGGTTTATATTCTGTAAAACCTAATTTAATGCATAAAGAGATGTCAAAGGGTACAGAGTGGACAAAATTCATTCATAAGAAATGGCAAAATACAAGCTCAAGATTTAAAATGACTGTGATGTATGACAGATTCATTATCTTGTTTCTGATCAGTCATCTGACACTGCTCACTTAATGCAGACAACATGCTTTGATTTAGATTTGTCTTGGAAGATGGTCAGCTCTGAGGAAATCAGACAGCACAACACTGTTGTGAACGCAGAATTCTTGGGCTTTACTTCACTGGTGGGATCAAGAGCTAAGAGCAGCACGGTACCACTGTATGCCATCACCAGTTTAGTGAGGCTGTTAGATTAAGCAGAAGTGGTGGAAGTTACAGGTGTGGTAAGCCCTTACAGCATGATTTCAGCTTACTATTGTTCGCTATGTGAACCTGTGTTCTTTACAGACAGTGGTGAGGTGGTGGAGCAGCTGCCCAGTGAGGCTGTGGATGCCCCAGCCATCCGTGGAGGTGTTCAAGGCCAGGTTGGATGGGGCCCTGGGGAGCCTGGGCTGGTATTAAATGGGGAGGTTGGAGGCCCTGCTTGTGGCAAGGGGTTGCAGATTTGTGATCCTTAAGGTCCCTTCCACCCCTGTCCATTCTGTGAACCCACAATGAATTTCAGCAGCAGCAGCTGGGGAGAAGGCGAGTATCCTTCATGCTGATCATGCTGCAGCACAGAAAGAGGCGGGAGGCCACTGCGAGATTTACTGAGTAGTTGGGCTGCTGCTGAGGCAGGCAGCATCTTGGCACAAATAAAGGCACCAAGTGCTTGAGCACAGAGGGCCATTGCTCCTATTGGACACCAAATGCTAGTGATGCTGAAGCTTCACTACTACATACGTGATTGCTTATTGGATTGTTGATTAGAGCTCAGAGCTGACTATGCTCTGGCCTTCCGTAAGGAGAGCAGAAGGCTGATGCATGCACACAGCTGCACTGCAGAGGCTGAGATCTTCGTATGCTATAACGTAGTAAGCCTGGATCTTTTAAAAAAAAAAAAAAAAAAAAAAAAAAAAAAAAAAAAGCCTTTTTTAAAAGATAAAATACATGCTTTTGGAGGACCCCCCTCCCTGCCTGCCAGAGCACAGCAGCAGGCCGTGCCACGGCAGGCGGGCGCCGCTGCTGTCCCCGCCCGGCGGCCCGGGGGAGGCGCGTTGGGCCGAGTCGGCCGCGGCACCGCCCGGGGGAAACCGCTGCCGGCGGGGCCAGAGCCCGGGGCGGTGAGTGGGGATGGGGTTGGGAGTGTCTTCACGTCGGCCGTGGGCGCGGGGGAGCAAGGGCGGCGTCCCGAGGGCATCCGGGCCGTGATCGCTGAGGGCGAGGCGGGGGCACGGCCGGGGCTGCCCGGCGTCCGGGTAAACACGGAGGGGCCGGGAGCGGGCGCTCAGCGCGCCTTGCCCGCGCTCAAAATGGCGCCGCGCTCACGTGATGGCGGCGGAGGGGAGAGGAGCTGGGCTCGGGGCTGCGTGCGAGTGGCCTGGAGGGGCGTGCGGGGCGGGGCGGCCTGGGGGCCGCGGTAGCGGCTGGGCTGAGGGGGGGGGTCTGTCCTCGTTTACGGAAGGGCTGCCTCTGCGGGCGTTTTGTGGTTAGCGCTGGGGTCCCCCTGTTGTGTCCCTGAAAAGCTGGGCTGGGTTGGTGGGCTTGTTTTCCTGTGTGAGCTTGAACTGGGCTTCATCCTGAAGTCTTACTGCTCTTGTAAAAGTTGGAGCTGCTGTGGGGAGCGGACCCGAGGTAGTAACTGCAAGGTTTTACGTGTGAGAATAATCCTTGGCTTCCTGTGGAAGTATATAATGAAGTGCCGAACGTCCGCCGCGGTGGGACGTGATGTGGCACCGCCTGACCAGCGCCGCGCCGGCCCTCGCAGGTGGTTCATGGAAGCTGAGCTCGGAGAAGGCTCTGCACGTGGGGCAGACCTCCACTCAGCGTCGTGGCTGTCTAAAGGTCTTAAAAGTTTTCCTCCTCCTTAGTAATTGGGTGAGCAGCAGCTTGCAACCACCCTGCAGAACCACGCGTGGCTATGAAAGGGCAAGGAGGGGCTGGGGGCGGTGGGAGGTGGATGTACCTTCACAGAGGCACTGAAGCATTGCTGCGGAAGTGTGAGTTTCTTGTTCTGACTAAGGATCCTTGAAGGTGCAATTTTGGAATGCTAGGGGGTGAAATACTCTGTAGTGATACCTGAGAGCTACCTCAGGAAGGTGCCAAAGGAAAAGAAGTGCCTTGTGGCCCCCGCAAGCTCTGGCTGCACGGAATGGCTGTGGAGGGCAAGCGATGGTCAAGGCAAAAAATTGCAGAAGGCAGGAGCTATATTTGTGTGGCGCAGAGCCAAAAGTGAATCAGAGTTCTGCTGTCCTGGCGCTGACAGGAGGAGGATTCACTTTGGGCAGTGAAGGGATTAGTGCTTGAACCTGCCTGGTGGGGATTTTGAGAGGAAGGATAAAGTTTGTTGGCATCTTTTGACCCTGAAGTGAGTGAATAAGGCATGATGGAAGATTTTAGACAATGGTTGACAAGAAAGGAAAGGTTCTGGTAATGTTAATTTACTGAGCAAGTAGGATTCAAACTGTTTGAATTGTGCATAATGAAGTCAGGTTCCAGAGTAGTAATGACAGTCTTTTGTAGGACTGAGGCTGTATCGCTTTTCACGTTTTTGATTTTTTGACTGAAACTATATTTGTGTTGCCTTTTGATCCTAGTTTTCTTCCAAGTGCAGTTCAGATAAAAATCACAGGAACATCTGTTTATACTCGTAGTTGGGAGTGAAAATGGATAAATTTCACTCTCCATAGTGGCAGTTTACTGAGTGTCTTTAAAAATTCTGTTTTTGATGTGATACTTAATTGTACATTTTTCAAATCATTCAGTTAAGCAGTTCCTATTGTTATGTTCAGGGAGACATACTACGTAGTGTAGATGCAGAGGAATGTGTTTGATGCTGCACCATAAATCTGGTGAACCTGCTTTAACAGCGGGATTGGATTTGATGATCCCAGAGGTCCCTTCCAACCCCTATGATTCTGTGATTTTTGTGGTGAAGCTAGAGAACATAGAGATTTCCAGATCTTCCTGGCCCTGGAATTATAAATTATATTTGTCGCAGTGCTGTGACATGTTGAAATTTACCCACAGGGGTAAATTTACCCACAGGGGTATTAGTAGCTTATTTGGGGGATTATATTGTGTAATTTGGAGAGGACAGAGGTATGCTATTCAGAATTGTAAGATATAATGGGCGTTTTCTACACTGTATTAAATAACTGCTGGGAAGCAGGCAGTCATTTATGTATATCTGTAAGTGTGGTAGATGACTAATATTGTAACGGTAGTGTGGTCTGAGGGAGGGGAAACATTTGCATATGGAGTTAAGGGGATTTCTAATTTTGCTCTGAATGGCAACATCTGGACTTTGGGAGCAACTTTGGGAGCTGAGATCTCTTTAAATGACTGGCTCTGCGAGGGACTCAGATGTGAGTGAAAAGATGCACAACCTTGCAAGGTGTCTGTGGAGACTTGAGGGCTGCTGTTCTTCCTTGCTGAGAACTGAAATCTTAGGCTTTAGGCTGTCATCAAAGGTGAAGGCTTTGGTGGGGCTCGTGTGGAGGTTTCTTATGCTTGTGCTTTACTGTACAGGTAGCTGTTCCACCAAATCTACTACAGAGTTCCAGTGTGTACTGTTGCAGTGACCTTTTGACTGCCCTTATTCTTAGCTGTGTCCTAACAGTCTTCTCCTTTTCTTTCATCTAATAGGAATAATGTTTCCAACATGTCTGTGCAGTCACTGCTTTGTGAAAGAATTGCCGTTGCCGAAGAACTGATCAAGAGAGCAGAAGCCCTTTCCAAGTTCCAGAAAAGGAGAATAGAAGGTGGGGCAAAACTATGTGGCAAACTGAAGGCTGAGTTAAACTTCCTACACAAAGTGGAGTCAGGGAAGGTGGTCATTAAAGAATCCCATCTGCAGAGTACAAACCTCACCCACCTCCAAGCCATTATCCAGTCAGCAGAGAACCTGGAGGATGTTGTCAGTGTCCTCCAAGTCTTTTCTTATGAGGACAGGTTTGGAAACAGACAGACGCTGGTGGTAGATGTTGTAGCAAATGGAGGTCACACGTGGGTGAAGGCCATTGGTCGGAAGGCTGAAGCCCTGCATAATATCTGGCTGGGAAGGGGCCAGTATGGTGACAAAAGTATCATTGAGCAGGCTGAAGACTTCCTGCAGGCAAGCTGTCAACAGCCAGTGGAGTACAGCAATCCCCACATAATATTTGCCTTCTACAACAGCGTGTCCAGTCCTATGGCAGAGAGACTTAAGGAGATGGGGATATCTGTGCGAGGAGATGTCGTTGCAGTGAACTCTCTAGTAGAACCATCTGTGGAAAACCAGCACCTAAGTGCCAGTGAATCAGATGAAGAAGACCTAGAACTGCAGGTCACCAGGGTAGATCGGGAGAATTTAGTGACCAGCATTGCTTTTCCTACACAGATCAAAGTAAATGTGTGCAATAGAGTGAACTTAGATATCACTACATTAATAACCTACGTCTCTGCTCTGAGTTACGGTGGCTGCTACTTCATCTTCAGAGAAAAAGTGCTAACAGAGCAAGCGGCTCAAGAAAGGAGGGACAGAGTCCTGCCTCAGCTGGAGGAGTTCATGGAGGGGAAGGAGCTCTTTGCATGTGAATCTGCTGTCAGAGATTTTCAGTCAATCTTGGAAACGCTGGGAGGGCCTGGGGAGAAAGAGAGAGCTGCATTGCTTGTTAAAAGAATTAATGTGGTCGCAGATCAGCCATCTGATCGTGCCTTACGACTAGTGGCGAGTTCAAAAATCAACAGCCGTTCCCTAACAATTTTTGGGACAGGAGACACTTTAAAAGCCATCACCATGACTGCAAATAGTGGTTTTGTGAGGGCAGCTGCTAACCAAGGCGTCAAGTTCAGTGTTTTTGTTCATCAGCCAAGAGCACTGACAGAAAGCAAAGAATCTGTTGCCACACCTTTACCAAAGAGCTGCCTGCGTGATAATGGATTGTAATTTGTTAAAGGAATTAATCTCTGAATATTGCTGATCTTTCAGTGGAAACATCTGGAGAAAAAAGAGAGTCATAGCAATACTATAATATATAATACATTTTCTGATTGTTTAACAGTGAGAATGCTAACTGGAGCAATGGAAGGGTTCCCCAGGAGACTTACATGGTCTTTATTTGGTCTTTGTTTTTTGTTCAACTGCTAATTTATTCACTAAAGTAATAAGATTTCCTTGAAAATCATTAACTGTTACAGTATATTAACTGTATGCATCCCTATTAAAACATTCAGTTACAGCACACAGATCCCTGTCTTTTTTTGTACCGGGGAGTGCAGATCTGGATGCAGTACTCCAGGTGAGGCCTGACCAGGACAAAGTTAGATGGGGGAGGATCACCTCCCTTGACCTGGTGGCCACAGTCCTTTTAATGCACCCCAGGATCCTGTTGGTCTTCAGGCCAACAGAGCCCTCTACCCTGTGAATAAAGGTGGAGAGGCCATCTGGAGCATACGGAAGAACCGTGTCTCTTAAGCGCTATATTTGGTAATAGAAGTCCTGAAAGAAGGTACAAGAAAATGAACAATAAATTGGTTTTTGCTTGCAGCTCAGAGCTTTTACAGCTAAGGTCCAAATGACAGTTTGCTGTTCATAATGGATTAATCTGTTTTATGGCCTTAAGCTGAGTACATGACATCAGTATTCTCTTGGGCACCCCATAAAGAGGTTTCTCCAAACAACAGATTTATGTGCCGATGAAGAGGGAGGGCAGTGACTTGTGTTATTGCCAGGTAGGCGACCCAAATGTGGTGAAAAGAAGTAACCTTTATACAGTCTGGATTAGAAGCAGTGGCACTGTCTGCAGTAGTTCGTAGAATTGTTGTCTCAGGTCCCTTCCTGCCCCTAAGTTTCTGTGATGCGATTGTGGAGATAATTTCATTTCAGTGTTCTTTCAAGTAACAGATGCAGGTTGGTGTTTGGGGTCCGCTACCAGTAAATGGCCAAAAGGTGGCCATTAATCCCATTCATCCAGCCCAGTGTGAACTGCAGACAGGAGCAACTCTCTCCTGGTTTCTGATTGTGAAAGTTACGATTCTGTGGTACTGCAGGCTGCAATGAGGTCACCCCGCAGCCTTCTCTTCTCCAGGCTGAACAAGCCCAGCTCCCTCAGCCTGTCCTCGCAGGGGAGGTGCTCCAGAACCCTCTTCATCTGTGTGGCTCTCCTCTGGACCCTCTCCAGCAGCTCCCTGTCTTTCTTGTACTGGACGCAGTACTCCAGCTGGGGCCTCACAAGGCACAGTAGAGAGGGACGATCACCTCCCTGTCCCTGCTGCCACCCCTCTTCTGATGGAGCCCAGGATACCAAGTGCTTAACATGTGGCTCATGTTAAGTTTTTCCTCCACCAGACCCCCAGGTCTTTCTGTGCAGGGCTGCTCTCAAGGACTGTTCCTCTCCATCTGTAAATATGCCTAGTGCAAAAGCTGGCACTTTGCTGTGTTGAACCTCATTAGATTTTCCCGGGCTTACCTCTCAAGTCTGTTGAGGTCCCTCTGAATGGCATCCCTTCCTTCCGCAAGTTCGTACTTTCTGATACTTGGCTTCTTTTTGAGCCGGTCCTCTGGTTCACAAGCAGCACCAAGTCGTGGCGGTGCCTCCGTCTGGGTTCCTTTCTACAGCACTGCACACTGCACGGCAGGCTGCTTGCTCGTGTTTTCCTGTGTGCCGTGTTTCACGAGCTGGCCTTAGCAGGGGTCTGGACGGGGGGATTTCCTCAGGTCCCTTCCTGCCCCTACGTTTCTGTGATTCTGTGACTGTGGAGATTCTTTCCTTTTGTTGTTTTTTTTCAGTAGGAGATGCAGGTCGGTGTTTGCAGTCTGATATCAGTAAATGACCAAAATGACCATTCACCTACCTCAGTGTAAACTGCAAACAGGAGCACTCTCTCCTGGTTTCTGACTGTGAAAGTTACGATTGTGTCCTCCCCCAGCATCAGGAGAGGGAGAAAGCGACGTGGGGAGGGACAGCAAGCCAACTTCATCCTCAATAACACGGAGACATTTGCTTTTTTTGCAAATGTTTATTGTCTTGAAGAACAGACTGAGGTTGTTGTTGGTCTCCCAACCGCGGTGGGTGCCGGCCTAGCGCCGCCTCTTGGGGGACGGGGGCAAATCCGGGGGGCAGCTGCTGGCCCTCCTCCTCGGGGGGGCGTCGGGGCCCCCCAGGCGAGCGGTCCGTGCCCCGGGCGGAGGGGCCCGCTGCCGCCGCCTGCCCCGGCTGCTCCTGCGGGGACACGGGGGCGGTGGGTGGGGGCTCGGGCCCCCCGTGAGGGACGCCGGGGAGCCGCTCGGCGCCGGGGCCCGCAGGGCTGGCGGAGCGGCCCGGGCCGGGGGCGGGAGGCTCCTGCCGGGAGGTGGTGGGGCCGGGGGTGGCCGCGGGGCCGTCCTGCCCTCCGGTTTCACGGGCAGCCGGGCTGTCCTGCCGCCGGCGGAGCTCTGGGCCGTACAGGGCCGTCACGGTGTTGATGAGCGGCACCACGAACTCCTCCGTGCGGTCTTGCAGGTATGACTCCAGCGTCAGGATCAGGGCGTCCTCGTCGAGCCCGTACACGCACAGGAGGTGCATGACATCAGTCCGCGCCGCAACCACCCGCCACCACTCATCTCCGGTGATGTCCTCGAGCTCCCGCTGGAGCCACCGGAGCAGCGGGTCGAGGTCCCCCGGATCTCCTCGGAAGAAGTCCGCCCAGGTCTCGGCTGGGAAGCCGCGCTCGGGAGCCTCGAGCTGCGGCTCTGCAGAGCCCTGCTCCTCCTCCTGCTCGTCCTCGGAGCTCTCTGCGGGCTGCGGGACGGGGCACTCGAGGAAATCCTCCTCGGACTGCACCGCGTACCGGGTGGCCTCGATGTTCTGCGCGCACACGGCACAGGTGCGATGCTGCTTCGCCCAGCGCAGCGCACAGCCCAAGCAGAGCTGGTGCCGGCAGGGCGTCACGTAGGCCGCCTCGGCCCGGTTCTGCCCACAGACGGGGCAGGTCCAGTCCGAGGGCAGCTCCATGGTCCCGGGCGTGCGGTGGGCCGGGGAGAGCCGAGCTGGGAAAGCCGCTCCCCTCGGCGGCGCCGCGGCGGGCCGGAGCCGTCAGCAGCTGCGAAGAGAAGAGGCCGCGGTCACTCGCCGTCCCCGGTCCCTCGCACGAACCCCCGGCCCCGCTCCCCGCCGCCCGCCCCGGTCACCTCTCCGGCCCCGCACCGCTCACCTCCGCTGCCGCGTGCGCACCCCGCGGGGCCCCGGCCGCCCGAGCCGGGCAGGGCCGGGGGAACGCTGGCGATGCCGCGGGCCGAGCGCCGGGAACTGCCGCCGGCAGCGCCGCAGCACGGCCCAAAGAAAGTCTCTCGTTCGCGCCTCCGAGTCTCGCTGCCGCGCTCAACCGGAGTCCGGGCACGAGTGATGCTGGGCTCTGCCGCGCCCCAGGCTCTGCAGGGAGGCTCCGTGAGCTCACAGCCATCTCCGCTGCTGTCACAGCCCCTTGGCCGGTGACCTCACAGCGCAGGGCCGCGTGTATTCGGGCGCCGGGCTGGGCCTGCATCGTTATTACCCCTCGTCGTTCACTGACCGCCCGTTGCGCTGGTGATAGATAGGGGACAATACAAACCGCACGTATGCTGTCTCCACGTGAATCTCGCCTTTGCAAGTTGTTTAGAATCATAGAATCGTTGAATGGCTTTGGCTTGGAAGGGGCCTCAAGGATCATCAAGCTCCTACCCCCTGCCACAGGCAGGGCCACCAACCTCCACATTTGATACCAGCCCAGGCTGCCCAGCTCCCTGTCCAGCTTGGCCTTGGACACCTCCAAGGACGGGGCATCCACAGCCTCTCTGGGCAGCTGTTCCAGCACCTCACCTCTCTCTCTGTAAAGATCTTACCCCTGACATCCAACCTCAATCGTCCCTCCCTCAACTTAAAACCATTTCCCCTTGTCTTGCTGTTATCTACCCTTTCACAGAGTTGACTGCCCTCCTATTTGTTGGCTCCCTTTAGGTACTGAAGGCTGCAATGAGGTCACCCCGCAGCCTTCTCTTCTCCAGGCTGAACAAGCCCAGCTCCCTCAGCCTGTCCTCGCAGGGGAGGTGCTCCAGAACCCTCTTCATCTGTGTGGCTCTCCTCTGGACCCTCTCCAGCAGCTCCCTGTCTTTCTTGTACTGGACGCAGTACTCCAGCTGGGGCCTCACAAGGCACAGTAGAGAGGGACGATCACCTCCCTGTCCCTGCTGCCACCCCTCTTCTGATGGAACCCAGGATACCATTGGCTATCCTAGCTGCAAGAGCACACCCTCTTTTGTTCACATGGGCCCACCTTTGAAGTTTGTGAAGGTCCCTCTGGATGTCTTCACTTTCTTTTAGTGTGTCCGCTGCCATTTTGATGTCTTCCTTCCTACTGTTGCAGAGCTAGCTGGCTTGTTTTGTACCAGTGCTGTGTGGCTGCTTAAAAGCCCCTGTACCTGAAACCACCATGTGGTGATTTCCTTTGCTGCCGTTGATTTTTCCACACTTACTCAGTATGGCATATTTTATTGAATCAATTTTCTTACTAATTTCTGCTTATCACTTCAGAAATATTTTAAGAATCTAGAAATTATCTGTGTACCACTAAATGTCTTGAGGCATTTTGCTTTATTGCTATTTTGTGCCTCCATGCTGTATGCTGTCATGAAGAACTCACCACGAGCCTTGTATTTTTTAAGCCATTTCTGCCTTCAGAGGTGTTTATTGGCTGGATAGAACTTTGACGTGCTATGCTGGCAGACAGTAAGAATTGTTTTGCAGGGTGAATCCTGAGACTGAATGCTGGCTTGAGAATAAAACATGTTTTGATTTAATGTTTAGTGTGTTGGGTTTTTTGTTGTTGTGTTTTTTGGTTTGTTCCCTCCCCTCCCCCCCCAAATTGCTTTCTTTTTTGGTGCATCTGAAGAGCTCCTATTTAATTTTACAAACAGAGCGTTAGGGCTTGGACTCTCTCTGTTTATAACTTTACATATGAATAATTAGAAGACTCAAATTATGCTTGAAATTTGGTTGAAAAAAATGGAAAATCTAGGACCGCTTATCTTTTCTTCCAATATCCATTATCTTATCTTCCAATATCAGGATATCACTTGCTAGAATGCTTTTGATTCTTAATTTGGTTTGCCGTGAAAACTTCTGGTGAACGTCGTCCTTCTGATATTTTTTCCCCTTCTCTTCAATTTACATTATTTGTGTGTGGCTCCAAAGTCTCCGAGGAGAGTCTCTGTTTTCTTCAGCACCTC